TGGCTAGTCTTTTGATAGATGTAGCTTTTGGCTAGTCTTTTGATAGACAGATTTTGGCTAGTCTTTTGATAGACATAGCTTTTGGCTAGTCTGTTGATAGACATAGCTTTTGGCTAGTCTTTTGATAGATATAGCTTTTGGCTAGTCTTTTGATAGACATAGCTTTTGGCTAGTCTTTTGATAGACATAGCTTTTGGCTAGTCTTTTGATAGATGCAGCTTTTGGCTAGTCTTATAGCTTTTGGCTAATATTTTGATAGACATAGCTTTTGGCTAGTCTTTTGGTAGATATAGCTTTTGGCTAGTCTTTTGATAGACATAGCTTTTGGCTAGTCTTTTGATAGACGTAGCTTTTGGCTAGTCTTTTGATAGATGTAGCTTTTGGCTAATATTTTGATAGACATATCTTTTGGCTAGTCTTTTGATAGACATAGCTTTTGGCTAGTCTTTTGATAGATGTAGCTTTTGACTAGTTTTTTCATAGCCATAACTTCTGGTTAGTCTTTTGATAGACATAGCTGTTGGCTAGTATTTTGCTACTTTAAACCTTCATTTGATGCTTTAGTGAATAGCTAAAGCCTTTTTACTGCAAGTATTTAACTTCTGTTACGTTCATTTTCTTTCTAGCCTTTAATATTTTAATATTATTTTGCTACTTCAGTTTTAGCAACATTTTTAGCTACTTTTAGCTGTCGGTTAACATTTTGGGGGTTTTAGCTAGCGTTTTACTACTTGAAGGTAGAATTTTGATAGTTTGGGGTTTTATCTAGCTATCTTTCAGCTGGGGACTTGCTACTTTTAGTTTTAACAATTTGGTTTCAGCTTCTTCATCCAATTTCATCAAAGTTATTCAGCATTTACACATCATTGTCACAGAAAATTCAATGTTTTCTGTGTGTGAGATGGGGTTTTAGCTGATAGACAGACAGACAGACAGACAGACAGACAGACAGACAGACAGACAGACAGACAGACAGACAGATAGATAGATAGATAGATAGATAGATAGATAGATAGATAGATAGATAGATAGATAGATAGATAGATAGATAGATAGATAGATAGATCACAGATCAAAAGTTTAAACTGAGAGAATGCATAATTTTAAGGGAAAAATCTGTTGTTTCCAAATTTCATGGCGTCAACAAATCCCAAAAAAGTTGGGACAATTCCATTTTTACCACTGTGTGGCATCCCCCTTTCTTCTTACAACACTCAACAGACGTCTGGGGACAGAGGAGACCAGTTTCTCAAGTTTAGAAATAGGAATGCTCTCCCATTCATGTCTAATACAGGCCTCTAACTGTTCAATCGTCTTGGGCCTTCTTTGTCGCACCTTCCTCTTTATGATGTGCCAAATGTTCTCTATAGGTGAAAGATCTGGACTGCAGGCTGGCCATTTCAGTACCCGGATCCTTCTCCTATTTAGCCATGATGTTGTGATTGCTGCAGAATGGGGTCTGGCATTATCGTGTTGAAAAATGCAGGGTCTTCCCTGAAAGAGATGACGTCTAGATGGGAGCATATGTTGTTCTAGAACCTGAACATAGTTCTCTGGATTAATGGTGCCTTTCCAGACATGCAAGCTGCCCATGCCACAAGCATTCATGCAACCCCATACCATCAGTGATGCAGGCGTCTGAATGGAGCGTTGATAACAACTTGGGCTATCCTTGTCCTCTCTGGTCTGGATGACATGGCGTCCCAGTGTTCCATCAAGAACTTCAAATCGTGACTCATCTGACCACAGAACAGTCTTCCATTTTGCCACACTCCATTTTAAATTACCCCTGGCCCAGTGCAAACATCTGAGCTTGTGGAGCTTGCTTAGAAATGGCTTCCTCTTTGCACTGTAGAGTTTCAGCTGGCAACGGCGGATGGCACAGTGGATTGTGTTCACTGACAATGCTTTCTGGAAGTATTCCTGAGCCCATTCTGTTATTTCCTTGACAGTGGCATTCCTGTTTGAGGTGCAGTGACGTTTAAGGGCCCGGAGATCACAAGCATCCAGTAGACTTTTACGGCCTTGACCCTTACGCACAGCGATTATTCCAGATTCTCTGAATCTTTTGATGATGTTATGCACAGTTGATGATGATAACTTAAAAGTCTTTGCTATTATTGCTGCACTATCTTTCTGTGCAACAATGGTGGAATTGTTGATCCTCTTACCATCTTGGCTTCTGAGAGACACTGACACTCTGAGAAGCTCTTTTTATACCCAATCATGTTGTCAGTTGACCCAATTAGTGTTAATTGGTCTTCCAGCTGTTCGTTATATGCTCAATTTCCTTTTTCCAGCCACTTATTGCTACTTGTCCCAACTTTTTTGGGATTTGTTGACGCCATGAAATTTGGAAACAACAGATTTTTCCCTTAAAATGATACATTCTCTCGGTTTAAACTTTTGATCTGTGATTTGTGTTCTATTCTGAATAAAATATTAGATGTTGGCACCTCCACATCACTGCATTCAGTTTTTATTCACAATTTGTTTAGTGTCCCAACTTTTTTGGAATCTGGTTTGTAGATAGATAGATAGATAGATAAATAGATAGATAGATAGATAACTTCTAACACTGGTTTGCACATCATGTTACTTAGAATAAATAATATTTGTCATATCAGAAATGCTCAACATGAACTGGACAAATATTATAGTTATCTAAATTGTTTTAACATAAATAAACAGAGCATCTGCATCAGAGACCAGGTCTATTATATGACACTTCAGCTTGCCACATTTATGTTTTTGCTTCTGTGTGCGTGTAGTTCCAAAATATCTCAAGAAGTCTAACTTTAAAAACACTCAAATTACTAAAATTTGCTCAGTTTTACAGATGTTGAGCTCAAATCTGGTGCGATAAAGAGTAATTCTCAACACATAAACCACTCCTACATTTCCATCCTTTTTCAGTTGAAGATTACTTGGTCACAAAAAAGTTCATGCTCAATCATCCAGGTATCAAATCCAAGAACTCTCAGTCAGGTCATCTGGACAGACTCTTCTTTAGAAAAGAATCTGTCCAGATGACCTGACTGAGAGTTAGTGGATTACTTTGTCACGGTTTCTGGCGAAAACTGTTTTGTGAAACCAAACAAAACTTACAAAAAGAGCTGGAACTCTGGGAGACATGAGAAGAAATGGCACAAACTTGGAATGCTACACCTGGGGATGACCTGAAGAACCCAGAATATAAAGAGAAAGTACAGAACGTAATAACAAACACCTAACAGGGAGAAAATCAGAAACAGGTGTGTGTGTGTGGGCGAGGCAGGAGCAGGGAGACACAGGAAAACAATGGAGGACAAAAACACAGGAGGAAATGAACACAAGAGTCATAAGAAGCTAAAGAAAACCACACACAAAGAAAAAAAACTACAAAATAATGACTAAATTACATATCCTGACAGATCTCCGTCTAAAACTGACAGGAAAGGCAGCGAGTGAGATGCATTCTCTGAAGAAAGACTTTTATAGGCCTTTTTTCACTCTTCCGCATTTTAAAGCAGATGTGGTGTGCAACAACTTCCAGTGGTTATGGTGTTAGCGTTAGACAGTGAGGAAAATGGCTCAGTAACCACACGGTTGTTTTTGTACACTTCCTGGTTGTTCTTGTGGGGCAAAAAACAACCGGATCTGTCCTACCATGCTTTCTCTACAGACCCGGATCAAAGTAAGCAGTGGATCCAAGAGCTCAGAAGAGATGAGGGTCCCGACTTCTGCATAAGCCAGGGAGCACTTTTGTATGCAGCCGACATTTCACTCAGGAGGAAAGCAGGAAGTGAAGAGACGCTACTTCCGGTTGTCGTGAAAAAGGTTTATTGTGTGAATGTTTATGAAGCATTCCCTCTGCTGTGATCCATCTTTCTTCCATATGTTTTACAGCATCTTTCTCATTCCACAATTTTTGTTCTATTTCACCAAGTCATAAATCAAAACGTTCAGCTCTTTCAGGAGAAGGGTGCTATGACTTTTGGTTTTGGTGCAACTTTAGCTTGTTGAAATATTTAGCCTTTTCTGCCACTTTTTTTTTCCCTCATAAAAAAAAATCATCCTTCAAATCTTTAGATGTGTTTACAACCTTTTACTGCTCCTTACACGTTTGTTCTGGTTCAGCTTCTCTCAGCTTCCTTGTGCAAATTTAAACTTTTTGCAGCTACTTTCAGCTGGGTTTTTTTTCAGCTGTTTTGTGCTCCTTTCAAATTCTTTCTGCTAACTACAACATTTTTATGCTTCTTCTAACTTCTTTCAGCGCATTTCAGCTTGTTATGCTGCTTTCAGCTTATTTATGTAAGTTTCAGCTTTTTTTTGTTGTTGCTATTTTTAGCTGCTGTTATGCTAATGTTAGCTTTTCTTTTGCACTCAGTTCAACTTTTTTCAGCCTAATGGGGAGTGGTGGCGCAGAGGTTAGAGAGGTGGGCTTGTGATCCGAAGATCGCCGGTTCACGCCCCGGCCCCGACAACATCAAAATTGTGGGTGGGGTAGGTGAAACACCCACACTTGCCCCCACCCTCATTCGCCCCACTCTGGGCCCATGAGCAAGGCCCTTAACCCCCCATGTGCTCCCTAAAACAGGTCTCTCTTGAAAATGAGTTCTCGTGGCTCAATGAGACTAACCTGTATAAATAAAGGCTAAATGCATTGAGCAACGAGAAAAAAAAAATTCAGCAACAAATGTACTCTTTCTACTTTCTTCTGGTAATTTAAGCTGTTTTCTGCTTTTTTAGCTCCTTGCTACTTTTTTGCTTATTTCAACTTTTAATTAATTTAATTAATTTCCACTTTTTGTGCTCATTTCTGCTTCATTCAGCAAATATGTTCTTCCTGCTTTCTTCTGCTAATTTAAGCTTGTTCTACCTTTTCAGCTACTTTTTAGTATTTTTTTTAAACTAATTTCAGCTGTTTTCAGATAAATTTGAGTTTTTTGTGGAAATTTCTGCTACTTTCAGCCTAATTAACGTCTTTCTGCTAATTTCAGTTTGTCATGCTCCTTTCAGATTCTTTTCTGCTAGTTTCAGCTTTTTCTGCTATTTCAGCTACTATTTAGCTGTTTTCCTGCTAAATTTAGCTTTTTCAGCTAAATCCACATAGCTCATTTAAATTATTTTCACTTCCTTATTGTTACGCTTCTTCCAGCCTTTTCAGCTACTTTTCAGCTATTTGTTTTTGCTAATTTCAGCATTTTTTTAATATAAATTCCTAATTTTTGTGCTCATTTCTACTTATTTAAGCCTTATTCAGCAAAAATGTGCACTTTCTGCTCTCCTCTGCTTATGTTGGCTTGTTCTTCCATTTCAGCATGCTTTTTTAGCTAATGTCAGCTGTTTTTCAGCAAGTTATTCTGCAGTAAGCATTCAAACTGCATTTTCACAGTAAATGCAGTTTACATGAAGCTTCATTAAAACCCCAGAAACTCATTTCCACTTTTGAAAACAAACTACCTGTAAAGTGTATTTGATGTGTTTGTAGTATTTTGCTTGTGAACAAACCTGCTTGGAGCAATGACTGATGTTGCTCATTAAATGGTTGGAGCTCCACAGGGCTGCTCCAGAGCAAACCTCTGATAAGAGTCTCTTTGTTCCAACACGCATCTGCTCCTTTATTTGACAGCATTTGTTTATCGGAGCCTGAGTCCTGCTGCCTTTGAAAGTGAAATAACGGCTGCATTATGAGCGGGCGGGATCCAGGTTAAGGTTCAGGGCTTTCAGACGTGCGCACACCCAGTTATTTTTCCTGCTGTGTCCATCAGGCTACTTCTTCACATGTAAAAGTGAACATTTCTTCACCATTTGTTCAGCTTAATGTTTTACATCTTCCTACAATTTCCATATTATTCTCTAACTCCTTAAGGCGTCTACAGTGCGATGCTGTAAGATGTGTTCAAATGCATCACATAGCACTAAAAAAAAAACATGCAAACTGCACAACAAAGTGTGAGACTCAGGTGGAAATGCATGCTATGATCATTGGTTGAGGTTTGTCCCACAATGTAGATGAAATCAGCAAAAGAGTTCAAGAAAACTAATGGAGGTGAATGGGATTTTGGTAAAACACATAAAAAACAGCCTTCTTAAAATACCTCATGGTATAAACTGTATTTTACATATCTGAACTGTTGTTTTAATATATTTTATGTTTTTAACACACGTTTTAAGATGGCAGTTGATGATGTCACACTAATTTTTGAAGTGTCAAAATTTTAGAATCTTTTTCTCCTGCAACTCTTCCTAAATGCAACACATTTGTCTTCTTTCATCCATAGTTTGTAAGATGTTATGCAGAAAGTGATCCACACATTCACTAAATCCAAAACCGTAAGTAAAGGATCTATTTAACTTGTCACCTCTCGTTCATAAAGCACCGTGGAGACATTAAAAATCACAGGTGTGTTCATCAGAGTCTTCTGCTGCTCGCCGTTCAAGAACTTTTAGGTTCGGACTCGTAGTTCCCCCCAAAGCAGCAGATTGTTTGAGATGTACTTTTCAGTTTGTATCTGTTGTCTGCCTCTCCACAGAGGCAATGTGGTTACCATGGCAACCATAATGAGCTGCAGCTTTATTGTTTCTTTTGTTCTTTGTTCTCTTTACACCTCTCATACAACTTATATTTCAAAATGTATGAATTATTTCTTATCTTACATTGTTATTTCTTAGCTTAATTTTATTATAATTTCTTAACTTATATTATTATTATTATTTAGCTTAGATTATTATCATTTATTTTCCTATATTATTATTTCTAGCTTATATTATTATTTAGCTTAGATTATTATCATTTCTTTTCCTATATTATTATTTCTAGCTTATATTATTATTTATCATCTTAGATTATTATTTCTTAGCTTATATTTTCAATACTATATTTCTTAGCTTAGATTATTATTATTTCCTAGTTTATGTTATTATTATTTCTTAGCTTAGATTATAATTCTTCCTTATCTTAGATTATTATTTCTTAGCTTAATTTTATTATTATTTCTTAGCTTATATTTTCAATACTATATTTCTTAACTTATTATTTTTTTATCTTATATTATTATTATTATTATTATTATTATTATTATTATTATTATTATATTATTAGCTTATGTTATTATTATTTCTTATCTTAGATTATATTTCTTAGCTTATATTATGATTATAACTAATCTTATATTATTCTTAATTCTTATCTTAGATTATTACTATTTCTTAGCTTAATTTTATTATCATTTCTTAACTTATATTATTATTATTTCTTATCTTGGATTAGTATTATTTCCTAGTTTATGTTATTATTATTTCTTAACTTAGATTATTATTCTTCCTTATCTTAGGTTATTATTTCTTAGCTTAATTTTATTATTATTTCTTAACTTATATTATTATTCTTCCTTTTTTTTAAATTTTAGATAATTATTATTTCTTATCTTAGATTATTATTTATGGTCGAATTATTTTAAATTTTAAAAAGCTGTATTTATTATTTCATTAATTTTATTTGTAATAAAAATGTTATTGTAAACATCAGTTTGAAAACTCATTAGCTCTAGACATGTGGGTAAGACATTTCTTTCTTTCTTTCTTTCTTTCTTTCTTTCTTTCTTTCTTTCTTTCTTTCTTTTTGTCTTTCTTTCTTTCTTTCTTTCTGTCTGTCTGTCTTTCTTTCTGTCTGTCTGTCTGTCTGTCTGTCTGTCTTTCTTTCTGTCTGTCTGTCTGTCTTTCTGTCTTTCTTTCTGTCAGCTGGCCGCGTGAACGCGCTTGCCTCTGTGCGCGCTCCGTGTAGGTGGAGCCCAGCTGGGCTTGGAGCTGCTGGGTCTCTGTGACACCCACTAGATCTCCCAGCTCGCCCCAGCCTGAAGTCGCAGCTGTCTCGCGCGCCCCTCACGCTGAAACTCCTCTAAAAACGGTAAGTTTCGCGCTCATGCACGCGGTCAGTCCTCCGGCCTCTCTGAGCGGAGCCTCCGAGCGGCTGCAGCCGGACCTGGAGCCTGTTCGGACGGACTGCTCCCCGGGAGCTTCTCCTTTAAACTGGAGGAACGAAAAAGAGGCGAGGCCGCAGTTCAACGAGCTGACGGTGTTTCTGCAGCACCCTCTTCACCTCACTACAAGTTTTTATCAAGAGTTAAGAAGTTCTGAACCAGCTCAGACTGTCTCAGATTTATAAATCCATTTTTCCTGCTCTCATGTTCAGTTTGTTCAAAAATAGCTTCCATTTGTTTTGTCAGCTGTGGGAATGCAGTCAAACCTGAATTCTTGTGCCAGCACACATCCAGAGAACTTGTTCTCATGTGTCTCCGTCTTTGTTAATATTATTATTAATAATAATAATTCATAATTTCAAAGAAAGTCATCATAGGCTACAGATTGATTTTTAACTTCTAATTCCAACAATGTTTGGACAGTACTAAAAATGTCACAGTGTGTCAAAGTAAGGCCCGAGGGCCAAATCTGGCCCTTGTTATCTTCTTATCTGGCCCAAGATGCTATTTTAAATGTAAAACATTTTATCGCCGCTCGTTTTGACTAAACGCCTGTAGAGAATGACAGAAGTGCAGACGTCTCGTGACGTTTGGTCGACTTATCTTCAGAAAGCATCAAATGGAACCAAGAAAAGTTGTCAGGTGTCTGATACAAGTTATTGTTCTGACAGAAACTGGCCCTGGTTGAACCAGTATTTAATTTTGGACACTTTTGTGGTTTGACATCCCTCTCATACTGTATTAATGTTGTGATTCTTGTGATTAAGAAATTGTGCCATTTTTTTTATAAAAGAAAATAAAAAAAAACTACAGTCATTTTATTTTAAATTAAATCGGAGCAGCTCATTTTGAAATGGGACAGGATCTTGTTTACAGTAGTCCCTTGATTATTGCGGGGGTTAAGTTCCATACACCCCCGTGATGGGTGAAAAAACTCAAAGTAGGAACGCTACATTTA